CAGGACTTGTCCTCGGGCGAAGAGGAAACTGGTTCCCGCAAGACAGCAGCTCCCTCCCTGTGTCTGTGGCTCCCACTGCCCCAGGGCATCACGGGAGCGGACCCTGCCGCATTTGTCCTTCTGCGTCCATCCGGCTGTTCTCACGGGGCACCGGGGCACCGGGTCGGGGATTCCTGCCTTCTAAGGCTGAGCCAGCTCTGCGCTGTGGACGGACCACGTTTGCCTGCCCATTTACCCGTTGATAGACATCTGGGCTGCGGCTAGGCCTTGGCTGTTGTGGATAGTGCTGCTGTGGGTGTGGGGTTCGAATGTCTCTTCCAGACCTTGCTTTGAAGTCTTTTGTGTGTACACCAAGAGTAGAATCGCTGGGTCCTATGGTAACTCTGATTTTTATTTTCTGAGGACACTGCACACTCTGTCCTCAGCTGCCACGGGCGGTCCTGCCCGTTCCTGCCAGCCGTGCCCGGGGCTCCCACTTGCCATGGTCGCCAACGCAGTCTCTGAGTTTTGATAGCATCCTCATGGGTGGGAAGGGGTGTCTCACTGTGGTTCTACTTAACTTAGAGCGCCTGGAATCCAGCTCTCATAACTGTCCTAAAGGCCTTCGGTGCTGACTCCCTGGGACCTGGGCTGCTTTGGGGTGGCTGGTTCTTCTCCTCATGCGTCACCTTCTCCTGCTTCCGCCTATGTCTGCTCCTTTGGATGCCAGACACTGAGTTTTGCCTTGTCGGATGCCGGGTGTTTTGCATTTCTGTCAATCTTGAGCTTGGTTCTGGGGATGCAGGTGCGCTCCTGGGAACGGTGTGTTCCTTCCGACGCTCACTTTTCTGGTTGGGTAGTAACTCCACACCACAGAGGCAAGCCCTTCCTAAGAGCTCAACCTACGCCCTGCAAACTGAGAGTCTCTGGTCCGGCCGCCGGGAGCCAGCTGTGGGTTGGGGCGTGGTTCCCTCTAAGGCAGATGCTTCCTCACCTGCCCCTGGGCATGCCCTCCCAGCCAGTGCTGGCCAGTCCTCCCTGAGTGCTGTGGACGGCGAGTGCTCTGTGTGGCTCTCCCCTCTCTCACACTCCCTCATATGAACTCTAGCCACCTGGCCCCCAGACTCACCCAGGCGTCCGTCCCAGGCCACGGAAACCCCCTTGAGGCAGTGAGCTGGGACAGGTGTCGGGTGCATCCCATTTCCCCCCCATCTCTCAGGGTCACTGTCCCGTGTCACCTAGCGTCCAGCCTGACAAGCTGCTGTGTCATGCTTTTTGTTTGTCTGGTTTTGTTTTGGGTTTTGGTTGTTTCAGGTGGAAGGGTCAATTCTCCATCTCAGCTGGAAGGGCAGTTTCCTAGAATGGAGATGTCCCACGTCTGGTGCCGCAGAGTGACCACACATTGTATTCGATGCACAAAACTCTGGATTCGCACGACCCAGCGATCCCACCTGAGTAAACGCCCAGCAGCATTGGAAGCAGGAGCACAGAGGCCTCCAGCTCCACGTGGCGGCGTCACTCACGGCAGCCACCGTGTGGAAGCAACCCAAGGGGCCATCGATGGAGGAACGGCTACCC